GGCTCTAGCCTGTGTCAGGACTCGGTCTGGGGATTTCCCCAGTTCCTCCCGCGAACCATCCACAGTGCCGAATGAGTCCATTTTTAGTGCGGGGCAATTTGTTAGCTAGTGCTGTACAGTTTCTGGCGTTGTTATTGCTATTGTCGTCGTCGTCGTCGTCGTCGTTGTTGATGTTATTATTATTGTTGTTGTTGTTATTATTGTTGTTGTTGTTGTTGTTGTTGTTGTTGTTGTTGTGCGTCACTGCATGCGTACACACATGGTTACATTTCATGCAGTACCGGAAGTTAGATCGCATCGCCCTAACACTCCCATTAATGACGCAAATCACAATGTGCGAGTACCAACGTTATAGAGTCCCGCTTGCCTCGTATGTCAGGACAGAATTCAGCAAACATGACGCTTGACTTCGGGAATCATTATCTATTAGCTGCCATCTTTAATATTCATCCGTGGTGCATGCCACCACAAGTGTTATAACCAATCTCGTTGGTAATAACGGCAGGTGTCGTCCGTTTCTCGTGATCGCATAGTCTTGTAGTGTATCAAAGTCACAATACCCTCTTTAGGCAGTATAGCACGAGTGCAGGGCCCTATCCCCCGGGGTCATATTAGTTCGTTCCTCCGAGAACGTTTGTTTGCAGTATGACACACAGACATCCGACAAAGGTAGATGTGTATGGCAGTAGAAATACCGTCGGAGACGCCGCAATAAACTGCAGTGTCACCAAATCCCATAACATGCGACGTTCACATGGTAGTATTCGCAAAAACTAAAACGGCAAAACCGTTTCTCAGAGAAATTTGGTGTTGGTCCGAATACGCCTTCTCACGTCCAAGCAAGCCTATTGTGAGTACGCAGTTATGCGCCGAATGTAGACTTAGTTGCTAAAAAAGCTAGCAGGGAAAAGGCAGTGATTTGGAAACACCGAATAAGCCAGTGCTGAAGCCCGAGTGGTAATGCAGACCCCCACAGAGATGGACTCTAACCCAGTGTGTGTGTCTCTCCGTTGCGAACACTGCAACTATCTAAAAGGTACTGACATTATTGACTTATTGTTGATACAGCGATGTATTTACAACGCGCGCCGTCACGCGAGTCTGAGTGCGCAAAACACGTGACTCATCGGTGTGACGTAATCCATACGCGCGCGCGACGCGAAATATCCTATGTTATAAGCGCTCCCGGCGATCGCTTGGGATGGAAATCCTTCATTTAACTCACAACAACTATCGCAAACATTGTCTACAGTACTTCATCGCAGACACGACGCTGTTACAGCTTCATGACGCGTCTGCGAGATTCCAGCCAACGAGTTCTCTCGCGTACGCCCTTGTTCATTTCGAGTTAGTAATGCGTCATTGCGAAGCCACGCGGTGCGAACCGCGATGGAACAGCGTCACGCATTCATTTCACAATTTCGAAGTAAATGCTTATCGGCCTACGATCGTGCCACATCTACGTCAACCATGCGTATATACCGCGTTATCACAACGCTGTGTTCTCCTGCAGCAGCGTCCGCGCGCACTCTCCCCAACCTCTCGCAGTCGCAAGCATCGGCAGCCGTCAGCGGTTATAGGGATTATGCGCTGCGGGAGCTCGTGCGCGCGCGCGATCCATCGACAACGGCCAGCTCGGAAAGTTTATGTACAAGTGAGCTGCGTGTTTACAGACGCCTGAGTGAGACGGAGCGGCCGGCCCCCGCGAACACGCTCCTAGCGTTATACATATACATATGTCGGCAGCGGCTTTTCTCGACGCTAATGAAAAAGCGGAGATTCCCGCGACGTTTCGCGCGCGATGAGCGAAGCAGAAATGTTCGACGTTCTGCGACTACCGACGGTTTATTACGGCTCGCAGACGATAGACGAGTGAGCCCATCTGCTCGGTCTCTGAACCCTGCGCTAGCGTATACGTACGTATGCACGGCTGACGGTGTGTGAGATCTCCCACGTACAGCACACATCGCCTCTCCCCTCTGACGAGCTACTCTCGTATATAACGATGCTCTAAATAATATCGTGGGTGGCTTGTATCAGCGTACGTTGGCCAGTTGCGCACTGCCGCAGTTGATGATAGGCTGTGGCGCACGTCATAAATGCTTGCACGTTAGCTGTTTACTCAATACGTGTGCCCTATAATATACCGTCTGTCGTGCAAGGGAATCGTAATTAGTTTAGCTAGCGTGACATAATGTTTCGTGCTGGAGGCTATAATAAGTTAGCTTCGATCCCTTCTCTACCCTGCCGCTCTCTCTCGCTCCCTCTCCCTCGCTAAGTACCACCAAGAGTAGATAATAACTTGTTAATGTTATTATCTACTCTTGGTACCACTGATAGGGTTTATGTCCCCCAGAGTACTGCCGGAACGTACCCTCGGTACGGTCCGGTATACCGGAACGTACCCTGGTACTAAATACTACTATCTAATATGTTGGACCGTACCTCGTCTACTCCACTAACGAGTCTAGGGAGTCGCCTACGCTTACTCCCTAACCCTAACCCTAACCCTAACCCTAACTATAACCCTAACCCTAACCCTAACACTAACCATAACCCTAACCATATCAGCTAGATAGTTACCAGGGTACGTTCCGGTATACCAGACCCTACCCAGGGTACGTTCCGGCAGTACCCTGGGGGCATAGACCCTATCAGCCTAACGCCCACGCGCACACGCACGCACGCACGCACACATGCAGGCACGCACGACCTCCAAACGCACACACACGCGCGCGCACGCACGCACACGCGCACGTACATATGTATATATATATGATGCTAGTGGCAATGGTAATATGTTGGGTTTCGTAGATATTGTTAACATTGCGAAAGTCTAATGGTTGATGTCTAATGGTCGAAGTCTAATGGTCGATGGGGTTATCGCCAGAAAGATGGGAAAAAAACGCAAGACCGTGAAAGAGAACGAGAGAGAGAGAGAGAGAGAGAGAGA